TTTCAACCTCAAAAGCTAGGAGGAAAGGGCTCTGAAATTTGCTCAGTATTCCCAATTCACCATTAGCCTGTTTCTTCCTTTAGCCTCAAGGCATTCTCCGCTTTTTGAAAAGATGTTAAGAAATTCAGTCACAATAGAGAGCCTAGTTTTGAACATGTTTCACTCGGTCCATTGAGGTCTGGTCTTCAGCCTTTGTGTGGGGTGAATTGAGCTGAGCAGCAATCTGGTTGGGGAGAGGTGAATGAGCAGTCTCTGTGCAGTCACAAATTCTGGCAAAGAAAAGATTACCCTTTCCTTTATTTTACAATATGCATTCCTGTACAATCCTGCTAGTGGCAATATGCAGAGCCGAGCTTGTGCTTAGGTCAATATGGAGCACTTGGTTTATAGCAACTCTTGTTAAGTTTGTCTTGTAATTGAAGCTGCTGTTGACCTTGCTTGGAGACCATTTGTAAAACCGTTTATTTAGCATAAACTGAAATAATAAACCCTCCTTCTCTTAGGCCGATTGTGATAGGGTGACATTAGTTTGATTTAATGATTAGCTGCCTGACCCCTCAGCTAGAGAGAGCTGCTTGAATAGGGAGAGTTCACTAGGAAGCACACAGGAAGAATACTAATGAGCTTGTTAAATTTAGCATGGCACCAACCACTTTTAATTCCTCTAATGGGAGAAGCACTGCCTCTGAGAGAGAGGGAGGGAGATGGGGAGAGGGGGGGAAAGAGAGAAAGAGGAAAAGAGGGAGGAATGCCCATGTCCTGGTAGACAGAGAATTTTGGTAAGAGAAGAGGAGAGCTTAGAGGGACCGTCAGCCAGGGTCTCTTGGACTGAGTTGTAAGTACCTTGTCTTTTCTCTTACCCAGCCTAAGTGCGTTTGCAGATCACTCCGGAGATAGTAATGCTCTCTGCAAGTTTGCATGCAGAAATGTGGTGATGAAACTTAATACATAAACAGATTTAACTGGTTTGGTGTTGTCTTGTTTAAGCAGGGGTGTCTCTGAAAGTGTGTTGGGACTGATTTTTAGTGTGGTGTATCAATAGATTTCAACTTTTTTTTGGTTGCTGACTTTAAGGGGTTTAAAGTAAAAGAGCTTCTACTTTGTCTTGGTTCATGACAAAAAAACCCCAAACCAAACCAAACAAACAAAAAAAACCCCAAAACAAACAAAAAACCCCCAAACCAACAAAAAATTCAACAGGGAAAGAAATTTATATGGATTTTTTTCATTAGGTTTTGGTTTGTACTGAATTTTTTAACTTTCTGGGTAAATTAGCTGAGCAATTAAAAGTACGTTTATTCAGTGATACTATCCAGCCTGAGTTTTTTGAAAAAGCTTTTTGATTCAGTGAGGTGCTCCATAGTGCTCAGCAGTTCTAATAAAAACGGCTCCTGATTAGAATAGCAGGACTAAATAAGGTATTTCTCAGTGGATGGGAGAATCCTGGATTAATGTGATCATTTTAGACTGGGCATTTCTAACGCGTGTCTCTGGCTACTGGCTTGTTAAGTCAGAGTAAGGGTATACATCAAGAAAGAGAAGCTTATGCAGATTGCTCTTGGGGCATGATTATTTTTTTCTTTTTCTTCTCTTATTTAACCTTTCTCTCTTACACCCACAAAAGGTGGGATGAATTATACTGGAGTTGGTGGGCTCCCACCACTGGGAATCAGGTGGAGATGAACTTTGGCATTTGTGTCTCTGCAACATTTTAGTAAATCAAATGTTTCTTTTGACACTAAAGCTGGCCCTGCTTCTAAAACGAGCAGAGCAGTAACAAAACAGTTCTCGTGTATTTGACTGTAAAGCCCCTTTGGCAGACGCTGCTGGAGAAGTGGGCTGTTTGCTTACATTTTTGTTATAGAATCCCACTTGTTGCCATGGTGGACAGTGTGTTCTGTCAATAATTTGGCCTGGTGCGTCTTGCCTGCACTTACCCTAGAAACTTTATTGAACGATTCAGCTGAACCAGAACAAGATTAGACAGCTTTCCCCTTTTGGCACTCTGGAGTGGCTCGCCTGCCGTGAGAGTAGGCAGTGTTTCTGCAAGACGAGTTTCCCGCTCCACGCTGGGGGAGCTCCTGCAGACCTCTGACTGTTACGTGTCCTGGAGCGTGGGTGCTGTCAAATTTCTCTTCTATCCCCTATCAAAAGCAGCTCAGTGGCATGGAGCATGAAGCAAATGCTTAGCGAACTGTTTGGTCAATGAATATGCCTTACTATTGCAAAAATGCCATCATGTGTAGTTAAATACTTCTGAGGGAATTTTTGCATGGCAGACAATGCACAGAAACTTTTGACTCGTCGCAGCACACGGCGATAACTTCATAATGGGGAGAAAGATGGATGATGCAGTAAGAAAAGTACTGCTTTTTTGTTTTTCTCGTTTTATTTTTTTTCCTCAAGTAACCAAAAAAAGGGGAAAGCTTATTAAAACAAACCATATTTTTACTTTAGTTTCTAGGTTACTGAAAGTAGGTTTTGAATTTCATTCAGCAATTTGAAAAATCAGACTTTTCCATAATAGTCACTAGTACCTTGATTCATGACACATGCATGTTTTGAGAAGGAAAGTATAAAAGTGGAGCCTGCAGACAGACATCGGCTTCTTGTTGTATACCAGGATGGCAGTTTTAACAAATATTATCTTTATATGGAAGAGTAAAAGAACTGAAATCCTATCTGATCATCCTAGTGATTATACAGCCCCACAAATCACCCTAGCTTTCTTCTTTCTGAACTGTTTTAGCACACATTAGGTTGCTCTGCTTAAGGGTCTGTCAGAATTTCAAATGGAATGTAATCCTCTATTTTTATAGGAGTTTACATCTCATCAGTGAAAGTTCACTCTAGGTTGAAATTTAACATAAAAGACTCTGGCTAAAGAGAAACCTGATGGAAAATATGACTTTGGGGTGATTTATATTTTATTTTTTAGTTATACAAGCAAGTTTCTAAAAACCTCCTGTAAGTTTTAAAGTTTTAGACCCCCTTTTGCAGTTCTGTAACTAAAACCAGCTTCGGTGTAAAAAGTTGAAACCTTAAACCCTGCTAATCCAGAGCAGGGACCAGTGCCTGTGCATATTAATAAAAAGCAGAGAAGGGCAAAGGGTTTAAACTCTGTAATGTTGTTGTCTATTTCCATTAACTATTTCTCCTCAGACCCAACCCTGGAAATTCTCTGTATGGAGAATTACTGCTGGCTGTAAAAAGAATTCTGTCCCTGGAAGATGCTGATAAGTCAGCAGACCCTGGTTGCTGTAATACGTGCAGATAGAAAAATAATTAAGTGCTCAATAGGCTACTGTGCTGGGTTTTCACGTTGTTGCTACTTGGGGGGAGAGAGAACAGGGAGAAAACTAGTGAGCAATGCATTCAAAGCAATGGTGTAGCTAGTTTATACATATAATGGCCAAAATTCAGCTCCAGGTATCCATAAGGACAGAGCGTGTTTCCAATCTAATTTGTACAAAGGCACATAGGTTGAGTTACTCTGGTATCAGGCTTGCTGAAAGTAGTCACCTAGTGAATTGCTGGCTGGTGCTTTTGCTGTGTGAACAAGTACACCAGAGCAAGGTGCAAGTGAAAACTTAGCCCTGACTTCAAATCTCTGACAACTGAAGTACAGTCTTGGCACTGGTGTCAATCATTCTTGCTTGCATGCGGGTTGTAGAGTAAGAGCACTTAAGTTTTATTTCCCAAGGGTGTTTCCATTTCCTTTTCTGGTTACCGTTTTTGTGCCCAGTGTTTAATAATTTGAGATTCCTTGTGTACTTCTAGAACTGCAGAGCAACTTTGAAATGAAGTGTCTTTATCAGTACTCCTTCAAGATGTGTTGGTGTAAACTCGCATGTGCTGTGTAGTTGATAAAAGAAGGGTGTACTTAGAGCATGGGTATCGGCCAAGGATTCAGCAATCAATCATGCTTGTTTAGAGGAATGTCTCTGTGTTTTAAACCAATAATGAAACTGAAGGAGGGCATTTACATTAGAGACTTGTGTACATGACAAAGCCCCTCTGCCACATGGCATGTGTGAAATGCACCTGGAAACACACATCTGGCTTTTGAGGAATATAACCACTTTGTCTGGTTTTCGAAGTATGTGTGCTTTTTAAAATTAATTTGTTATTATTATTAACTTTTATTAATTTTAACCCTGGGGGTTAAAATTCATGTGGGTGCAGAGGGTTGGTTTAGCGCCCAGTCCTGGAGCTGCCTGCATAGAAGGCTGGTGGAGCCATGATCAGGAGGCTCTTTTTCCATCACAAGTGGTACCACAGGCCTAGAGCCTTACTCCAAACTAGGACTTGGGTTTGACCCTCCTAGTTATTAATATTATTATTATTCCCTCTGCCCTTTTTCCTTTCCCCTTGTTGATTAGGAATTTGTGTGTTCATCTGTGGGGATATGGGAAGAAGAAGTAGGAGGAGTGTACCCCACCACCCTACATGGACACCCATCTTGAGCAATTGTACGCATTTTATTGTTGCCCACCTTAGTTCTGATCACTACCAACCTCCCTGCAAGGCTTCAGCCCCTCACACAGGCAAAGCCCCAGGGACCTGGAGCTGGGCTACAGAGCAGCAGTGGGTGGCTGTGTGTGATTTAGGCCCAGCTGGTGGGGTTCGTCTTCTCCTCTGTGTGACAAATCATTTCTTGACTCCCCATCAGGGAGCCTGAGCTCCCAGCCTCCTTGTCCCAGAGGCAGGGAAGCAGCAAGCCTGTGTCTGTTCCTGCACAATTGATGGCCCCGTTGGTAGGGGCATCGGTGCATGGGTGACTGTGATCTACTGCTCTGCCGCTGCCGGCTCCAAATGGGCAGGCATCCCCAGGCCATCCCTCACAGCCACACAGGCACCTCCTGTCACAAACTTACACCGGGAGGAGGAGGGTGGCGGGGGGAGAACTTTTCTTTATTGTATTTGCTATAAATGGACTAAAAGTATGTGTCTCTCTTTTTTCTTCCCTTCTCTCTTTCTTCTCCCTCGTTTTTTTGCAGAGGATGAAAGTCCTGGGCAGACCTATCACAGAGAGAGAAGGAACGCGATCACAATGCAGCCGCAGGGTGGGCAAGGCCTCAGCAAGATCAGTGAAGAGCCTTCCACGTCGAGTGAGGAAAGGGCCTCATTAATCAAGAAGGAGATCCATGGATCTATATCGCACCTTCCCGAACCTTCTGTACCTTACCGTGGGACGCTCTTTACCATGGACCCCCGAAACGGTTACATGGACCCTCATTACCGTGAGTATTGATTGCTGGTTCATTCGGGGATGCAAAGTTGGAAGACTGTCAAGTTTAATGTAACTTTATTTGCCACTTTGCATCATTCTCAGGGAGAACTGCTTTGTCTGGGGGGAGTGGTGTTTGTGGTAAATGCAATCTTTTTTTTCCTGAAGTTAAAAACCAGGGTGCAGTTGCATTGCAGCTAGAAATTATCTCAGGCCTCTGCAAAGCAACTTCCACAGGACATCTCATCTGTTGCTAATCCTCCTCAGCCATCCAGGGTTGCGTTTGCTCCACCTCCTTAATGCATGAAGAAAAAGGGCCTCATTAAAGAAAGCACAGAAGGAAAATGAAACAGGCCTTAAAAATCCCTCTTTTAAAACAACGTTAAAATATGGTATTGAGAGGAGGAAGAACTGTGCCTTGTACAATGAGAATTTGGGGGATTGGAATGCTTATTGCTGTGCTTTAGGAGTTTTTGTTTTGTTTTGGAGGGTTTTTTAGACATTCACGAGTGTGTTTGAGAATGCAGGCTGATGGAGTGGTTTTGCAATTTTCTTTCCCAGCTACAGTTCCCTGAAGTTGTAAGGGGGAGGAAAAAAGGCAAATGGTTTCAACTTCTGAATTCCTGCTCAGGCATTAATAAAAAAGTAAGAAATTAACTGACACTTGAACACAGATGTGGAATGGATTTCTCCACAGGCAAAATATGAGGGAGTTAAGCAATTTTTTTCATCTGCTTCTAGTTTACAAAAAAGAGGAAAAAAAAATCATTTAGTTGTGTAGTAATGAAGTACATCTTGAGGTGTCAAGGCTTGTGGCTTTTGATTATAGATTTATCACCCAGCCAGGATACAGGTTTGCCATTTAACCTTGCAGTCTCCAATTCCAGATGATAGGCTTAAGACCCACAAAGAGAGAGAGGCCAGTCTGCGTTGGTTTTTTTTTTTAAACATCATTCAGAAATTTTAGTGTTTTAAGGCAAAAGGTCATTAGCCAGACGACTGATTAGTGAGGACAGCTGATTAGTGCCTGTTATTTTGCTAAAGAAAGTGCCAGGGATAAAAGCTAATTTTATCCCTTCATTAGTTGGGCTAGCAGCAAAGGGGAATGTTCACTCATCAGGGTGCAGATCAAAGTATGTCTTGCACAACCTAAAGTCTCACCAACCTCCTTCTTAAAAAAAGGAGCCTGAGTGTTAATAAGGATGGAGGTATTATGAGAAAACGAACACTTGTTGTCCTTGTAATTTAGATCAGTATTTAAAGGAAAAGTTTGCTGTTAAGCTTTTGAGCTCTTCTTCAGTGTAGGCAGTTGGTTTTTGTGCACCCTCCGCCTCCTGTTCTCTCCTACAGACCTGCTCAAACCCTCTGGGGGAGTTACTCATCTTTCTGTTGAGGAGGATGTGCTGCAGCACACCGGCAGCAGACTCCTCTTCCAGAGGGGCATGAATGTGAAGTGCAAACGGCCGCTCAAGAGCAGCAGCGCATAGAAATATTAGCTTGTGGGTTGGAGGCACCATTCATAGCTTAATGGTTAACAAACCCCCAAACTAACTTAAAAACAGACAGACAGGTATTACTGGGGAAGCAAAATAGCTTTTCTGTTTGTAGGCAGTACAGCTGGGGAGAGATGAAATGTGTGACGAAAACAATCCCCAAACAAACAACAAACCTTATGCTGAATTTAGTGGTGACGATTTCCATTTTGACCATCTGACCAGCTGCCAGCTCACCCCTTAAATCTTGTTTAAAGTGTTATTGATACCACCGAAGGTTCACACAGAAGAAAAGGGGCTGGTTGGTCTGAATGCGTCTGAGAGGTTTGCATTTAGTTTATTTTGTTTTATTTTCTCAAATTCACCTTTTGACAAGAGTTGTCAAGATTTAATGAAGCTGCTGTGTCTGTATTGTGACCAATATTAGTTATAACTAGCTACCACATTAATGCTAGCTGATTAGGCTGTGTGGACTACTAGAAAAACATTGATGTCAGAAGTTGAGAGAACACCAGAAGTTACCCAGCATACAATAGCAAAGAAAAGGTAGATAAGTTAATTTTAAATGAGCATCATGATCTTAAAGCAAAAATCTAAGTCAGAAAACATCAGATGGACAGACCTGCTTCACTGCTGCTGTAGTGAGTTGTACATTTGTATTCACTGATTTATAAAGTCCCTCAAGCTATAAAGTCCCTCTGTCATATAAAGAGCCATCATGCTTTTATTTACCTTTAATAGCTATGATACAGATAGACAACTAAAGAGACAAATGTCTACTTTGATTTATAGGAAAGCAGACAGTCTTACTGAAATTTTCATAGTGGTTGTATCATTTATATATGTAAGACATGCTTTCATCAAAGTGATGACTGTATTCAGACTGACACTTTTAGTGGTCCATATGAAAAAGGCTGAATAATGTAAACATACCCAAGTCCCACTGTAGCAACAGGTAAAGAACCAGCAAAGCTTTTTTTTCCCTTCTTAGTTTCTTGCTAGTTTTGCTAGGTATATGGATAGAAAATACTGTTTTAATTCAACATAGTCAGGTATGTAAACATTCATAGTAACTTCTTAGTTTCCCTGTGGTAGGAAAATATAGACTTATCAAGATCCCTAATTTGTGCTTTGTATTTAAAAGTGTGGGCAACTTCCTGTAACACAGGAAAAGGCAAAATAATTTTTTTTAAAGAAGGACATCTGCATATTTTCATGGCAAAAAAAGCAAAAGAACATTTAAGTCAATTCTGTGTGGAATGCATGTCCCTTCCAGGAGCCACAGTTATTAGAAACAACTTGAGTGCTTTGCATTTCTACATGTAAATATGTATGTGTCTCTGTACATTGCAGGATTTATTTGTTGATTTAATTTTTTTTCTAATTAAAATGACTGATGTTGTAAATGTTGGTAATAATAGTTACCATAAAAATGGAATAAATACCTCATTGAGAGGGAGTTTGCTCTCCTGCAGAGTGTGGGTGGGGAAAATGGTTGAGTTTCAAGTGAACCAGCTTTTCAAACAGCTGGGATGAAACATGCTATGGAGCTGGCAGCCCTTCTGCACCACCAGAGAGCCCCTCAACCATTTAGCAACTGAGAATGTGAGTGCAGTCTCATTCTCAGCTCACAGTCTTCTATCCTCCAACAGATAAAAGTGAAAACACAGGCCTAAACCAAAAGTTTTTCCTCTTCTTTTTTGTTACAGATTTCTTAACCGCTATTTAATCACTGCTCACAAAGTGTGGGGAGGGGGGTGTTTTTGTTTAATTTTTTAAAAACTTTTTTTCATTTAAAAAGCTTTAGGGACAATGACAGAAATGCTGGAGTTTCCCATCATATGTTGCACCTTTCTTTAGTGAGAAGAGCAGGGTTACTGGCCTTAATAACAGTGTTTCTTAAATGAATTTAAACCCTTGTGTTTCTCAAACACTAATTCCAGAGGTAGATTGAGCCCCTTGTTAATGTAAATTCTGTCTGTAGAGGTGGGGCTGAGGCAGGGGAGATGGGGATAGTAACTTGCCTTTGTTATTCTCTTCCACAATTTTAATTTTCATGCAGATTTATGGCAGTGCTAAGACTCCCTGTCTCGCAAGTCATTCCTCATGGAAAAAATGAATCATTCCTGATGTAAACACTTTGATTTAAAACATGCTGTTGATATTCTTCCCTGGGTTTCACAGCTCATATGAAAGAATTGTTAGTACCTAATTAGCAAAGCCTGAAGAACTATTTCGAGTAAAAAGCAATGAGAGTTCACTTGGCTCTGCTCTAAAAATTTATATATACAGGAATGTATGGCCCTGGCAGCAATCTCTTTCAGATAAATTACTTTGTCTCAAAGAGATTGCACAGGAACTCACTTCTTTCTAATTTTTTTTTTCTTTTTTCCCCTTTTTCTTTTCTTTTTCCCGATACTCCTTACAAGGGATTCATTTTGCTGGTTTTGAAGCTTCTGTATCTATCTGGGGAAGTGGGAACTGCTTATTGCACATTTCATAGGATTAGCCCTCCAAAGGTATTGATTGCCTACAGCTCATGCTTTGTAAGGATTGGGCCTCGCATAACTGTCTGAGTTATATTAGCCAGTGTTAGAGTCATCTCAAAATCAATTTGCAACATGAACAAAAGACTTCAGCAAGGAAAACACAATGCTGGATCGCTAGGTGCACTTGCTCATTTACTGTATTTTAATTTCTGTTGACAAGAATTCCTTTTCCTTCATCTCCCAATAGGAAAGGAAGAGGGAGGGAGGGTGGGAAAAAAAAAACAACGGGGATTGGATTCTGTTTTTTCAAATGCAAACTGGTAACTGGAAACACTGTCTTAAAATGCAGTACTTAGAAAGCAATGACTTTTCATGGCATTGAGGCTTGAACCACAATGGCCAGCTATATGTGGCGCATTGGACTAGTTTCCCAATGTCTCTGGGTGACAGGAGCCTGAGACAACTTTTTATAGAGAGTTTCTCCCCAGCCTGGTTGGACAGTGGAAGGAGAGTGTCAGTGAAGAATCCTCACAGAGATTTAGGGCCAGGGTCTTTAAGTACATTTAAGTGCTCTTCAATTTCAAAGTGAGTTTGGCCTCTTAAATACCTCTGAAAATCTGGGTCCTACTTCTTCAACTCTTTCTGCAGCATTTTGGAAGGGGGAGGCTTAAGCACTCTAGTAACAAAACTCTCTACTGGCAGTGATGTATGGGGGGTGGTTTCCAAATGTTATCAGGTAGGAGTACTTGGAAAAAGTAAAATCTAAAGCTTTTAATAAAACTCACAGGCAAAAAAGCCTCTAGTATGAAAGTGAATGTCAGATTACTGGTGTCAGCTGAGCAACTGAAGCGTAGGACTTTAAGAAAATTAGCATGTTTGCAAAAACATTTTTGGGATTAAAAGTCTAAAATGTAATAGTATCTTTCAATAGCCTCCAACAAAAAACATTACTGTTCTCAAATTCAAACTTATGGTCAGAGGCAACTTCAGTGTGGAATTTAGGAAGGTGCTGTAGACCTTGTAAACTTAGC